GATCCATAAAACCGAATAATATTTCATAAGTTGGTCAGCAATTCAAACATTTGGAATGGTGAACCACCAACACAGTTGATTAACCCTACGTATGACATATGTGGCGAATTTATACTCCACATCTATATTACTCAGCACAAGTTGACCCAGGGCGCCCTGTGATACACAGTACCTTCCTCATTATTATAACCCTTTCTAATGACAAATCCGTATAACATGTAACAGGAAGCGTGATTTGCATTATTAGTATTTTGATTCTTGTTTGTAATTATACTATGTGGGTCGTATTTGCAGCCCATCTTGTTTTAGTTCTACGACGTAGCCGTTTCCATGAAACACGCGGGAAAGTTTTAGAGCTCCATTATAATAACATTCCAGAATCATTTTCAAACACTATGTAAATCAATGAGCAACCTCAGTCATCTTTATTTATTGTGTAATCAATCAGAGACTCAACTAACGTTGATTCTATTGTAGATTGAAAGTCAGAATTCAAGCATGTTACCCAGATATTATATACTATATCTGACGTGGAAGAAAGTAGTGGATCAGAAAGTGAAAATGATGCTGATCAAGTTGAAGACCAGTCAAAGGAAGATAGAAGCACTTCATTTGAGCCAGAATAGGAAGATAAAGCATCACCGAAGAGATGTCCAAGCCACTGATGATACTACTTCGATTCCACAACTTCTATATTAAGGTGCTCTAAAGAAATTTGTTTTTCGAATGTTGAACGGCTCTCTGTTGTCAGTTGCCTAAATACATAGCTAGTACAATACTTCTGTTATAGAGTGCGGAAAATGCACCCTAGTTGGTATAAGTTATGAGTTATATTTTTCAAATAATATAAATTTTATGACATACTTTTAAACGTTCCATCTTTTTTATTTTATTAATAATTCAGTTAAATGTGAGTTTAGGTGTTTATGACTTATGCAACATCTAAAAATGGTCTCATTCATTAGATTATTTAGAACTACAGGAAAAATTTAGTTTTCCAAAACTTCCAAAAGTTGATGTAGTTGAAATGTGCTCTTAAAATCATTTCTATGATTTTTCAAAGTAATTTAAATGTTTCTTTTACCAGAATAGTTACATACTTACTATTATGATATTAGATTTATATGTGGACACACATCTTTTTTTATAAATAATCTGATAATCCAATAAACTAATACTCAGTGTTTGTCTGTCCTAAAAATGCACTTAGATGCGTACTTCATTTCAAAGGATGTAAACAAAGACGGATGAAAATATACTCAGTAGACATTTGTAAAACAACATATTAAAACCTTACCCACGTTTTTAAAAATGTCCCTAACTAAAGCAAAAAAAACAACAAAAAAACGTACAATAGTTATATTGTTAATATATTTCTTTATCGAATATTGACCGTACTTAATAGAGACTTAACTAATGTTATTCCTAAGACAAGTAAAATTATGGATTTCGGCATCTTGCGGTTACAATTCTTATTAGAATACTAATTTGTTAGCAAATGTTTTACGGGCCTCTGCTAGATTTAGTAAGAATACATGTATAATTATTATAAGTCATACAGCACTTTTTTATTTCAAATTGCCTGTCATTAAAAATATAAAAGCTTTATAATTAAATATATTGCTGAATTTGAAAGTTTTTCTATAAAATCGTTTTCTGTGGACCCATCGGCTTTTATGGCGATAAAAGAAACTTGCCAGAAAAATAATATGAAAGAATGAAAAAAAAAAAAACTTTGAGGAAATACTTTAGATTCCTAGAAGGTAAAAACTGTTTTATTAACCAAACACAACAGACCTAGCGTTAAGGACTTGTTAAGGCAGTGTAAATATTTGATAAAACTGGTTAAACAAGTACAGTTCATAGTTAAACTGCGTTAACATCCAACACTGACCTAAATACTCATGAACACTGAAAAGTTTATTTGAACTTTCTGTGAAAACCTTTGAGAGCCTAAACAAGGAAAACTAGATAACAAGCGAATGTTAATTCAGAATTCTATATTCTAAAAGCATCTCATAACTTTAGAAGCAGTGTTGGACGCACACCATCGTTATAAATACCCAATGTGTCACTCAACTTTTATCAAAATAAATATATCCAAATCAAAACCATACTTAGATATCCTGTAAACTTATCACAATGTCATTTTTTTCACACTTCTCTTCATTTGGAAAAATCACCACGAATCTTTCGAATTAAAATAGACCAATTTGTCTAGCTCTACTCTTAAATAACTCACAGCTCTTTAGAAACGAAACCAATCAAATACTTATCCCCAATCAAATTAAATGGAAAAAAACTTCAAGTCTTTATTTACACCCAAGCACATGAC